AACAGCATGAAGTAGCCAAGCATCTATCTTAACATCAGCACAACTATCCTTTCCTTGGAATTGTTTAACATGAGCCAGAAAGATACACTACATATGGTATGTCGGTGACCGAAAATCGCACAGTTGCTTCTATCAAATCGGTTTTCTTGAAGGTTCAATTGATTCTAAGCTTCTAGGTGAACGTCTAATTACATATTAGTTTTATTAAGTTGAAAAAATGTAATTGTAAAGCATTTGGAGGTTTCAAAATATGCAGAGATACCACAGGTTCTCTCTTGTTATTGGTTCAGGGAAGTTAGTTCCTTGAAGTAGGGTGTATCAATGTAGGAAAGCAGAAAACTATTAAATCCTAGGTAGTAGTAGCTAGTTTGCTTTTGGATGTGTTAGAGAATATATATCTAAAATAATGTGTTAAAATATCTTTACCCACCATTTGGTGGCATTATGTAAGTGATTTATTGTTATTGGGGTGTAGGACAAAGAGGGTTGGTTTGTCCAACTATGGATTTGGGGATAAAAATCCCAGGCATTATACTTAGAATTTTTTAAACATCACATCTAAGAAACCTTAAACATCATATTTAAGGGTTTTATTGTATTGTACAACTGAAAAATTGAAAAACTTTAAGAATATATTAGTGAATACTTGAATGTTATCCTAATAAGTGAAATTACATAACTATTTATAACAATTTCTAAGTGACATTTACTAAGTAAGACTAAACTAAATAGTAGTAAACTAATAAGAACAGGAAACTAATACTAATAATAGAAATATTAGCCCTAATACAAATAGGAAATATAAATAGTAGAAAGAATAAAATCCTGAAGTTACTAAAACTACAGTAATTGACTTCTAAATAGTATAGTAGTTTTATATTTAAAAGAATTATTATTTCTAATCTATTTTGGCATAACCTATTCTGCATCATTCACCTATGGGTAGAGAGAACTCATTGACGAGTTTTCAATAATGAATCATGTAAAACCTTGATTTTCCAGCTTCCTTATGAAAATTTAATGAACTTTCTATATGATTATTCTCTTCAATAGTGAACATGATGGAAACATGTAACTGTTTAAGAGCGTGAAATCCTGATAGTAGGATGAAGTCAGCATATTGACCAATTTGCATTTCACCTTCATCAGTGAGTTGAACATCTTTAAGCCCTATAGCCTAGGTTTCTTGCATTGAACTTCTGTAGAACTTTCTTTAGGCAATGAAAGATTTTGAATAACCTGAATATTTTAATGTTTAGGAAGATATAACCTGAATATTTCATGAATTCTACTTTCATCCCTAAAAGAAGTGGCACTAATGAGTTGAAAGGCTTTAGACCTATAAGTTTGGTTGGCTTTATTTACAAATTAATTGCTAAGGTCCTGGCTTGGAGATTGTCCAGGGTACTTGGAGAAGTGATTGGGAAATGGCAACACACATTTGTGGGGGAAAGAGAGATTTTTGATGCTGTGATGGCTGCCAATGAGATGGTAGATGACTTATTGATCAATTAAAAGAATGGCTTGGTGTGTAAACTTGATATGGAGAAAGCATATGTATGTAAACTGGAACTTTGTTGATTATATGCTGTACAAATTGGGTTTTGGGCAAAAATGGAGGAAATGGATGAAATCATGCATCATAACAACTTCCTTTGCTGTCTTAATAAATTGGGGACCTTCCAATTTCTTCATTGCCACAAGAGGATTAAGACAAGGGGATCCTTTATCCTCCCTTCTTTTTATCTTGGTTATGGAAGCTCTCAATGATTATAAGGGAGGGCTAATGAGCTACAGTTGATTAGGGGAGTTTTGGTGGGTAAGATGGGGAACAGCACGGATGTGTCCCATCTTTTCTTTGCTGATGACACATTAATCTTCTGTCAACCAGATTTGAGAATTGCCTTCATCTGAGATGTGTGCTTTTATGCTTCCAAGCGGTTTCGGGTATCAAAATT